TAAAAGATTTCGTTTACAAAAACGTATACTTAGTGACAATCATTAAACAAGTACTACAATATTTTTAACACAGTAAACATTCACATAAGTTAAAACCCTTATTTACCTGAAATGGGACCTTGAGAAGGTCTTGAAGTTTCAGGTTTATCTAAGGAGGAAACGCGTCCCGTGATCGATTGCCGCTTCGGTGGCGGTTCAATGGCTGGTTGTACTTCCATGGCGCGTATTGCAGGCGATCGTGGGATTTGCCTAGGTGGATGTGTCACCGAACAGAAAGTCGCGTAATGTCCTTTTCCCCATATGTAAAACAAGTAATGTAGTCAGGCACATGCCTAGATTGACCGTTGTTGGGGCATGCTCGTGAGTAATGACCTTGACGGCCACACTTATAACACTCGGGCAAGGATTCCATTGTAGGAGTTCCTCGACCCACCCGGTTTCCTCTTCCTCTTCCTCGGCTATTTGGTTAGTTTGATCCCTATCCTTGGCCTGATGTTTATCCTCGATCTACCTGGTTCCTTGGCCCTGGGCCTTGAACACGCAGCTGTGATGATTGTTTGCTCATGCGGCCACATCCTCGACACACGCTAGGCACATGCTTACCAACGGTCTGCCCACGACTGGAGCAAGAACACTGCTCCGTCACCAAGCACCCTGGCACACTGCTGAGTCACCGGTAAGCTAGCAGGCTGCTGAGTCACCGAGGTACTTACTGGGTTTTCAACGAAAACTGTCCGAATGATCGGGCCGATCAACGAGTCTTTGCCTTGGCTTCTACTTAGCCACGGTGCGGGTCATTACAATATCCCCTCCCCCAAAAATGTTGTTAAACATTGAACAAATTAAGAGGCTATCTGGCAATTTAGGAAAAGAAGAGGACTAACACATTATAATTAAGTTCAACAACAAGGTACGCTTAAAAATTTATCATAGATTTGAGCAGATGATATGATTTCATGTTCATTTTTCATTTAAAATATCTAAATTTTTGGCTTCTTAACTTCTGATTTTGTGTGGATTTTAAAGTTTTTTAGTTTGAATATGTATGGGTTTGTTGATAATGGTTCTTTAATGAACGTAAACCTCTAAATTAGACCATTAAACCTCTAAATCGGTTAATGATCTCACAACATTTGTTTTTAGGGTTTAATTAGCGTTGACTAAAATGTTGGGATTTAATTTGCGTTAAATTAAAAGGTTTGGGTTTTAATTATCATCACCTTTTAGTTAGGTTTTTTTTGTCGAATAAATGATTTTTTGGGGTTTGTTTTGCATTTTTCTCGAATATGAATAGAAAAAATGCACATTTTCTAATGATCTATCTTTTTAGTCTAAATGCAATTGGCTATCATGTTAATCATATTATTGTTCACACTATTTAGCAATTTTCCAGCACTTTATATAGAGAAGCAATTTTTGTACAAAAGGAAATTAACTTTAGATAATCCTCAAATGCAACCGGTGAAAATAGCTCCCCTTGAGGCATACTTACTATCAATGCGAAGAGATGGATGTCCAGCATACTTACTCACGAAATTGGGTACGAATCTCTTCTTCGTCTTCTTTATAGGGTTTATCCTTGTCCCTGCCTCTTCATGTTTTTCATTACATGTTTTCTCTTTTCAGATGTCAAACTCTGTTTGCAATGCTCAATCTCTATCCTCTCTTGAAAGAAGAACTTGTATCTTGTTTGGAGCTAATTTTTCTCCAGATTATGGAGCTTTCTGGCCAGATCACACCTTTGGTCACTCATCTTTTTGAGGTTTTATCTCCTCAACCACTTCAGGTTTGTTTTTTGAACCGTCTTGTTAGATACCATGATTAGAGGTCTCTGGCGATTTTGTTAGTTAAGATTTGTGAACCTTTGGCTTAGGGAGTGATTAACATACCCTAGATTGTTCTTGTAAATTATCATTCATTGACCAATTAAGAAAGATATTCCTATTACAATTCTGTTTTTCTACAACCACTTCTCCTCAAGGCTACACAAAACTTTCTTCAACTTTCAATGGATTTTTCTGGCAACGAAAACTTCATTCTCCTATTGCAATCAGCCACTCCTGAGGTCCAACTCTCTCTGGTTTCTATGCTACCACAAACATTCTACCAAGTATCATACAACATGAGCGGGTATGCATCTTATCTTTAAGTTTTCCAAATATTGATGATGCTTTTCTACGCCTTGTATGTTTCTAATACCATTACCAAATTTGATTGTATGTTTCTAATACCATCACCAGATCTGTTTTTATCCAGGAGCCTCCTTCTCCAAAGATTTTTTTCACTACCGAGTTGGAGCAGCTTTGATCGTTAGACTTGCTGGCCGCTTCACTTTGCTTTCCATGGACATGTATGCCAACTACTTGGTCAGGAGCTGCATCAGCACAACAGATCACATTAGCCTTCTCCAAATCATCGAATAACTCTCTCCAAGCTTAACCGTATTGATCTACCATCGCTTCGGCAACTATGTTCTTCAAAGAATCATAGTAGCATGTGAGAGAACGGGTATGAGACCGCACCCACATCTCGAACATATCATTAGGTCGATAAGAGTTGAGTTTGTAAACTATAAGTGGGGTAGAGAAGTTATGAAGACTTATGACCTCACCTATGGACCTCCGGCTTGGTGCACATAGCAACATATCTTGGGCAGATTGTTGTTCTTGAGACTCGGAATCTGCATGTTGTCGATGACGATGGTTTAGACTTTTGGAGGTTTCGTTTTGGGATGATTTGATACGCACAAATATGGATGGGCAAAAAATCTGAAACCGAAATATGAATACTGATGAGAGTTGTTTTACCATTAAGCAAGTTAACTTATCAAATAAAACCTAACAAAGTTAACAACCTACTCATGATTCAATTGCAGCAAGTGAAATGGTTAGAACATAAGGAAGACAAGGACTCAATACTAGATCATAAAGAATTTTGATTAAGCTAAAGCATCAACAAGGGTTTGGTTTGGATGAACTAAACTAAGCAGAAATATAATTAAGCTAGAGATACACAAAACATATATTTAAAGGCAAATGCAATGATAATGGAAAGCACCAAGCATTAGGATAGCAACTGATGCAGATAAATAGATCTCGGCTAACAAAGTCAGGGCCTTTAATATTAAGCTCACTTTTAAGCATGGGACACGAATAATGATCATCCCACTTACGTGATGCTATTAACCACTTTGTTGAGTACGAACATCTAGCTAACTTTCGCTGCTAGATATAAGTACTCTTCAAGCATTAAGATCAAGTCTCAATAAGCTCACTTAGCTCCCCTAACAACACTTTCATGGCCAGGGGTCGCTAAGCCGAGGAAAAAGTCAGTCAGGCATTCCATCAAACACCTTCCGGGTAGCGGAATGCCTCAAGACAGAGCTCAAGGACGTAATCGAGAACCGAGCATTAATCTCAACCTAAGCTCGAGAAACGTAAGGGTTAGGCCGAAACTAAGTTAACCAAGCTCTAAAGCTTCTACATCTACCACTCCGATACTCGATGAATGAACTACTCACTCATGGCTACGGGAAAAACCATGATTGAGCTCGAGTGAGGTGGGGATGATGATATGCGAAGATAAATGCGATTAATAAGTAAAAGACTGAAACTTTAAGCTAAAGACTGAAACTTTATAAGCTAAGTAACTTAGAACATCAAAGATCCGATGCTCTAAGGATCGAT